AAACTTAACATGTGTTTTTACTTTAAGTTTTTAACACTAAACTTCACTACAGTTAGAAATTTACAAAAAATCAATATCAGGTCCTCCCAAAACCGAAAAACATGGCAAGGGGTCTACGACACAAACAAGTTTGGGAACCTCTGATTTAAACATATATTTCGCTATGTAATAGGATATGTTTCAGAATTTTAAAAATAATATCAACAACAATAATAAAAAGGGTATCTTGTCCGCATTTGTTTGACACTCCACATGGTATATTTATAAATTAGAGAACGATTTTCGGTATTCGAAGCGTCCGCTCTTTGCAGACGTGTTAATTACAGAATAAAATAGATTCGCGTGCCTGAGTCGCGATCGAATCCTGCTTCGGCGGATGCTCCTCGCCCCGCAACCGAAACCCGGTAATTAGACAGCGTTTAGTGTCACTTTGTCTTTGGAGACCAGCCCTGTCAATTAGCCGTTGATATATGCGCGCACATACACATGTATGTCATTTATATACACACACACATTTATATACAAACACACACACGTACGCGGATGCATTCTTTAAACGGGAGGGTATGTGTTAAAGGACGTCTATACTCTGCTCACTCTGTGTTCGTCTCTCTTCATCTCTTTAGCACGCTTGGAATCTTCGAATTTGTCTGCGGATAATATTTAATGAGTTTCCGTTTATTTTTAGTGGCTTCCCCGCTACTTCTTCGGCAGCGCCGAATTAATTATACTCCTTTTACACGAAACCGCGCGCCCCATTTAAAATGATAAACGTCGACGATTTTTCAGGACAGACCGAAAACCACTGCTATACTCGCACCGTCACTATCTCTTCTCCAAACGCATCTTCATCTTAACGAGACTTCTCACATTTCAAACATTCACCTATTGCTTCTGTTCAAACACATTTTACCAGTGTCGTAACAATTTCACATCAAATATATACATTTTTTGCAATAGAGTATTATTATCCTTGTGATTCAACTAGAATCATTTCTTTCATTACATTGAAACGTGTGTTTTGTAACAATCTATTATACTCTAGAACAGTCATGTAAATTACTTTAAACGCGACTTTGACTTAATGAGACTTCTCATATTTCAAGAGTTTAGTTATTAATTCTTTTCAAAACATATTCCCATATCTGTTCATAACAAAAATGGGTTCAAATATAGATTTTGTACTTTGATTTTCTGAAAATCTTGCATCTTCAACATTTCTTCAAAAGTTTTTATTCTTATAAATTGTATAATAAATTCTCAATATAAGTTGAATCTTTTTTGTCTAGAAAAAGTTAAGTACAGATGATCCTATTTTTGGATTTTGAGGCCCCGGGTGTAAATATGGAATGGGGCCCACAATAAATAAAGAAATATATTGTGAAAAAAAATTATGGATAAAAATTATGAGCGAAGTGGTGAATTCAACTGATTGAGGGCCCCTTCATTGGCGACTTTAGGGATGATTTCCGGATAGCTCCCAATGTTTGAAAAAAATCGGTAACATGGCTGTTTCAAAATCTATTTATTATACGTATCTGAGGTGCCGATCAAAATAGTATTTTACTTTTTCGAAAAGAATAGATTAAGAAAATACAAATTTTTAAAGGTTTACTGAATAAAAATGAGGTATAAAATAAAACGAAGCCAAAAACGTAAATCACCCAATTACGAGGTCGTATTTTGTTGGGTTTGTGTGTACTTAAAATCGCATCGAGATGGGCGTCGTTGGAGCAAAAGCATTTTAATTTACTGCCACGCCATTCCATAGTGTCATTTATAACTGAAATTAATGTCATCTATCCGCCTCTAATCGTCGTCAAACGACTTTAGCCCCAAAAATACAATCCACTAAAGAGGTTCCAAGCATACACGCATCCACATACATACATATATATATTTAAAAACGGAGAGAGAAAGATCTTCCGCTCTCCGCAACTCACTCATGCTTCTTTCTCCTCTCTCTTCTTTTTTTTTAATTTTCTTTCTTTTTTGAATCTTGTTTCTTGTTTATCTCGAGGAGTCATTTTTCAACGCTCGCATCGTTACCAGTTTAAAATCTAATTCTGTCGCAAATTAGCGTCTCTTTGGGGAACACAAACACGCCCAGCGTCGTCGTCGTCGTCGTCGTTCCGCGCTCTTATAATTCCCGCGGCTTTCGTAACACGGCAAATTAAAGTCCCGCACTTCAAACACTTAACAAGTATTAACTCTTCCAGATTCCAAATCCGACGATGACAGGAAGAAGAGACCCAGGACCGCGTTTACAGCGGCCCAAATAAAATCCTTGGAAGCAGAGTTCGAGCGCAACAAATATCTTTCAGTCGCCAAACGGTGTCAACTATCGAAGTCATTGAAGCTAACCGAAACGCAAGTGAGTATTTTCATAATTTCACTTGTATCAAGCAATCTATTAAATTTTTTTTTCTTTAGATCAAAATATGGTTTCAAAATCGCCGCACAAAGTGGAAGAGGAAGTATACCAACGATATAGAGATTCTAGCTCAACAGTACTACAGTTCCATGGGCATCTTGACTCCACGTCCGATTTTCTTAGGTGACAGATTATGGTAAGTTACATCTAGAATACACATCTGATGATTGCGTCTAATCTAGTAGGAATCATTGCTACAACAGGTTCTTTAATTACGGGAATCAAAGTGGAGGTCCAAACGTGTCTTCGCAGATGGTTCCTGCAGTGGTTCCGATGCCTTCGACGTTGCCTCCATCCATGGTACCAGCCTTGACCAGCGCTCAATGTTTACCCTCGTACAACGACTACCCGGAAACCGGGCAACCGGAAACGTCGCCCATCCTGCAGCTACAAAACTTTGGAAGGACCTTCGATAATTCATGATATATCCGTTAAACGTGCACTAATTTAAGGAGATTTTTTTGTAATTCTATTTTTAAGCTATAACGTACTACAATAATACATCAAATTATATATTCTAAATAGCAATCGTTAATTAAACCTCTACAATTCCTTAATATTCATTATCTGCTTTACTTACTGTAGATTTACAAATTAATCAATTTACAATTCGAGTCGAAATACTTAGCCCTTAATTAAACAAAGTCATCATATTTCAATAGTTTAGGTATTATCAGCTCATAATTAAGATTTAGTTTCAAAGTTGTAATTTGATACCCTGCATCATTATGCATTCAAATTCAATTATCTTAAACTTCAAATTAAGTTTTGAAAAACACAAACAGAGATATACATGATCATATAGCAAACATGGTATAATTAAGTCGAATTTTAACATAATTAATACTTAATATAATTCAAGTTAATATCAAAACATCTAAAAAAAATTTAATCCAATTTAGGATTAGGCCCCGGGGAGATTCGAACTCCCGATCTCCTGTTTACTAGACAGGCGCTTTAACCAACTAAGCCACGGCGCCCTTTATAATTAAGAGAAAATATCCCTTGAAGCAGTAAGTATTTACTAAAACTATTCAAATCTTGGTGCCAAAGTTAAAAGAAATAATTAATAAACTATAATTAATGTCTACGAAACAAAGAAGCCAAGAAATGCAATTGTTTTAATTTAATAAGATTAATATCATATATGAAGTTGGTAGAAGATTTTCGTTTGTTTGGTTTTTGACAATCCCATTCCCGGCAGTATTAGTAAACGTAAATAAGATCGTTAATAGAATACCAAAAATCAATTGAACCAAAGAAACAATTACAAAACAATCTTAATTAGTAATTAAGGTAAGTTTTCATTTGCAAATGTATTCTCAATGTTTATGTTTAAAGTCGACACCTCTCTTACAGTTTTAGGTTATATTTACGCCCTATGAGTAATTGAGTAAATATCAATAAGTATGGGCCTGTTAACTGACCCAAGTGCTGGCCAGGGGAAGCTCATTAAATTACTTCTCAAGTATTACGCTAAATTATGTGTGTTGCTCTATACTGTGGGGATTGTTTACTTCTGTGCACTGGCAAGTTCGCAAATCAATAGCAGCACCTACTTCTCAGAGAATGCATTGTTACCAGGTTTAGTTCGATCAGAGTTCATGGACAATACCATGGCAATGAACTACTTCGATGAGCTCAAGCATGAAATGAAAAAGTACGATGATTCTATACCATATCCTTGGTTACTAGCTAAATTTAGGCAGCTTGGATTAGATACATATACACATAATTTTTCTTTAAATTATCCTTTAGGAGCTTCACAGGTAAAATATTAATTTTTTTTTGTAATTGGATTTGGAATTATTTTTTTTGTTTAAGAAATTCACAGGGAAAAATGTTTATGCAATAATTAGAGCTCCTCGTGCAGCAAGCACTGAAGCTCTTGTACTTAGTGTGCCTTATAGACCTCCAGTTAGTGTGCATGCACCCACTGCATCTTCAATAGCAATTATGTTGGCTTTCGCCAAATTTGCAGTCAGTGAGTGTTTCAACTACTTCTAACCAATGAATGGTATTTATATTGATTTTAATTTCCAGAGGAAAAATATTGGGCTAAAGATATTATTTTCCTAGTCACTGAGCATGAACAACTAGGAATGCAGGCTTGGTTGGAGGCCTACCATGGAGTTACCTGTGGCAAGAAGGATGTTTTGATTTCTGGTGATATGAAAGGCAGGGCTGGATCAATCCAAGCTGCTATCAATTTGGAAATACACGAGCCTGAAATTGGTATAACATCCACCATTTAAATATGTTATGAAATTAATGATGAATTTTTTTAGGGCAAATTGATATAAAGATCGAGGGCTTGAATGGCCAATTGCCCAATTTGGATCTTTTCAACCTGTCCGGTAAAATGGCTTTAAAAGAAGGACTTTCCTTAACGTTTAAGAATCGTTTAGCCAAGAGGTTGAAGAGTTTGTGGAGGGATTGGATCTACGCTTTTCAAACCATGATGAGTATGGTTGTTACGCAAGCTACTGGTGTACGTATTTGCGTCATCAATTGAATCGAGCAAATTGAATGAATGTTATTTGAATAGGTGCCGAACGGAAATCACGGATTGTTCTATCGATTCGGAATACAAGCTGTCACATTGGAAGGATTTTCATTACCTAATCCTAAATCTAACAGGGCAGGTTTCTACACGATTGCGCGTATTTTAGAAGGCACGTTTAGGAGTTTGAACAATCTTTTGGAACGTTTCCATCAGAGTTTTTTCTTCTACCTATTATCGGCAACTGATAGATACATTTCAATCGGTGAGATTATTATTATTTGTGAAGTATTCGTTTCTTAATATAAGGATTGTAGGACTGTACATTCCGGCTATTTGTTTGTTGGCTGCGACTTTTATGATCAAAGCTTACGCTAAATGGTGTCAGCTTCATAACAATAATAAAACAGACGAAAAACAAGCTGGTGGTGATGCAAAGAATCAGTTAAGCGATGATGTTGTTAAGGAACTCGAGATGAAGCATGCGGCATTAACGCAGGGGGATTGGGAACAGAAGTTCGAGGTGGAAAGTGAGAAGCCGCCAAACGATAAACACGTGGGTCTAGGACACGTTTCTTTAGTCTACGTCCTTTCACACGTTGTGGGCTTCGCCTTGAGGGATTTACCGAAGTACATGTCGCACGTTGGAGCGACCTACGGGTATTCTACAGAGACAAGCATTTACGGAACATTTGCAGCTGTCTCGCTTCTTGGAGTGTTGTTCCCGCTTTGCATAAGACGCAAACCCGCCTACAAAAGCATGTCCTTCTTAAATATAATTGCATTATTAGAAGTTGGAACGGCGCTAATTTGTCTGGCAATGTACAATATATCCATAGCTATGTTTCTGGCGGCGATTTATGCTCCAGCTACGCTTCTAATCAATCCCACCAGATGCGGGTACGTCTACAATTCTTCTTTGATTTGAATAAATTAAAGTTCATCCCGTTTCAGCTCTTGCCGAATAGTACAAAGGGTCTTATGGTTGATGATGCACCCTTTCGTGGTGTTTAACGTTTGCATCGCTGTTTTCACATTCACTGCATTCCCTAACGATTCCCTCGAAGAAGTCTTTTACAGAGCTTTGGGCGCTTCGCGTCAAGCCATGGTTTACAGCATCGTCGATTCCGAAATCTACGGAAACTGGTTGTACAACATGATCACAATGATTTTCGTCTCGACTTGGCTGTGCTTCTATTACGTCACGTTTGGAAAGGCGGATCCATCCGAGCAGATTATCAAAAAGAAGAGCGATTGAACTGTGTTGTTGTCATCCGGTTATTTCTCTTAATGTAGAAATAAAGTTGTTTTTACTTACGTTTCTATGCAATTCGTTACGCCTATTCCTCGAGATTCTATTTTGTAATAGGTAAAATATATTTATTGGCTGATTCGAAAAAAATACAATTAGAATGTCGAGTATAAAAGTCTTCTCTTTATTGAAAACTAAAGACAATAATATCGAGAAAATATTCATACGATAAATTAAAGCTGTCCTACGCTAAACTTTGCAAAAAGGTGCACGTATATACAACCTTCGAATTAGTATATAATAAAAATACAGACACAATAAATTAAACAGTTTAGTATTTATGAACTTCTCAACAAACATTCGGAACAAAAAGCTTTTTTCTTTCTATTATTATTATTACCATTACTATCACAATGAATTGACAACAATTGACGTGGAGAAATATTTACAAAATATGTGGTTGCTTGCATTAGTTATAATGATTGAAGAAATATACCAGAACTTTCGCCTATTAAAAAAATACTTATATATATGTTTAGTGAACAAGTAAATGATTGAATTAAACCTGTTTGTAAATATTTCTTTTGTTTCATATTTGAACCGTTTTCAGGAAGGCTTATGTGTGTGTGTTTGTGTTGTGTAAATTCACCTAAAAATATGTTTTATATAAAATGTGAACTTCAATAATACTATTCCGTCTCTCGTTAATTAATATAAAAAAATATATTATAGATATGCTCATATTAAATATAGATAATAGTTATATAATACAATAGTTTTATTTACAAAAAATATATTGTTTTTATTTCCTTCGAAAACGTTAGTTATAGCAAATCTATATGATTTATATATATATATAATAATAATAAAATAACATTATCTCTCTTCATTAAATATATTATATTTGTATTTGCTTTGAAATCTTAAGAACTATGACTAGCTGTTATACAGCAATGATTGTTGCAATGAGGTAGATATAAATAAATCAAAAGCACAACCGCGCCATCGACAGATTTCCTTTCTTTTCCATGCAGAAAGCGTAAGAAAATAAGTGTGCTTTTTGAATTAATTTTTGGGAATGGTTTCCGATTCGACGTTACTGTTTTCCTTTTCATCATCGTTCGCACATCATTAGGTATTTAACATCTCTTATTGTTGTGTTTTGTACTTTAGTTAAGTGATTTTTAAAAAGTATATTATTCAACAAGAGAAACAAGGCCATAGTTTATACGCGATTCGATTTTCATTATGGAATTTGTATGTATTAAAGCTTTTTTTTTTTTGAACAATGTAACAAGTGGATGTTGTTAGTAGCACCAAGCATTAGGAGGCGTTTAAACTGATGCGTCAAGTATCATATAAAAACCATCAACATTTGATGTAATTGAATGAATATATGCAAGTAATATGGATACCTGTTGGAACAGTATAGATGCGCGTTTCCTATTTTTTTTCTTTCGAAATTTATATATGTATAAAAAAACAAATAAAATTTAAACAAATAAACTTAAAAGATTTAACAACACGTTGGATCAAAAAACGCAACTTTTTAAAGCATTGGCCCGAGCGACGTAACTAAAATAATGCGCGGGGCCGAATTAAACATATAATATATATAAAAAAAAATGTACGTCTTAAAAAACGTAATAGATTGTTATGGTTCAGAACCATAGATAAACTTAGATAATTTAAATAAATGAAGCAGCTAACAATTCAATCCTATCTCTTGTTAAGAAATAATGACTATAAATTTCATCTCTTTGGATCACTTTTGCCCGTAGAACTCTTTACCTTATAGGTTTTTATAAAAAAATAATGTTGTAAACGAATACTGCATATGTTATTTTGGTGGTGGATTGTGGAAGGTTTGACTGAAGGCAGGTAATGGAAGATTCTCGCGCGGCTCCTGCTCGAGAAGATCGATGAATGTGTCGTCGAAGATCGGACCGGATGTGTCGGGATCGGTGATCTCGTCGAGAATTTCACTACCGAGATCGGTGAGTTCTCCCTGAGTACTTGTATCTTGATCTTGAGGTAAGAATGACGGCGTGGAAGACTGCTCCAGCAACGGGAACAGCGACTCGAGGTCCAGATTCGTGGGAAACGTCGTCGTCTCCGGATTCGATTCCTCTTCGGTTTTTATTACAATTTGTTCGGACGTTTGCGGTTCCTCGTGGTCTTCCTCCTCTTTGGGTAGGAGGCTGTCTTCCTCCTTGACGAGGGTCTCCTCCGCGTTCAGTCTCATGTGCGATTTCTTGATGTGCCGAACGAGGTGATCTTTACGTCCGAAACGCTGAGGGCAGAACTGGCAGAGGAAGTCGCGCTTTCCTGTGTGAACAACCAGATGTCGCCGGACGTCTTTACGTGTGAAGAACTTGCGCTGGCAATAATCGCACGAGAACTTCTTCTCGTCTGGGTTTTTCACAGTGCGACTGCCCGCGTGGATTTTCAAATGGTATAGCACCTCGTCTTTAGTCTTGAAGGACTTCTGGCAGATTTGGCAATCCAACTTACCCTCTTCGGCGGCGTGCAGCGCGAGATGTTTCTTGTAGCTCAGCGATGAGGTGTACTCCTTTTTGCAGTCGCTCTTCTCGCACACGTGCACCTTCTTGCACGGACTGTGTATCTTGATGTGATTCTTCAGATGGTCTTTGCGATGGAAAGTGCGCTCGCAGATAGAACAGCTGAATGGTTTTCGATCCGAATGTATGAGGACGTGCCGGACCAATTTGAATTTCGACGTAAACGACTTTTTGCAGTGTTCGCATTTGAAAGGCGAGCTGGTGCCGTGGATCTGCTGGTGCTTGGAAAGTTTATTGGAATTTTGGAAAGTTTTCTGACAAATAGGACAAGCAAACTGCTTCTTAGTACCCTGTATTTTCTTTAGTCTCTTCGTGTTAACCTTCGTTCCTTTCTTAGGCGTTTGCAAACCCGACGGTCCAGGCTCATCGTAGTTCGGTTCATCCTTCGTCAAGACCGGCTCCGGCGTTGACGCGATCGACTTCTGCGCTTTGCTGTCCACATAATAGTTATAGAGGATTGGAAATTGCGGTTGCAAGTGATCCGCAACTGTCATCTCATTTGGTTTCTCGGATTGGCTTTCCTCTGCTATGTTATTCAACTCGTTAATTGTGATTTTATCGCCAGGTGTCCCCATGGCGATATCAATGAAGGCAACATCATCTACAAAATATAACCACATTCAGCATATTAAAATCTCCCTGCAACACGAAAATAAAGATGATATAATATTGTTAAAAAAAAAACGGTTTAGTGGAAACATCTGGCTTCCACTTTCCCCAATAAATATTTGAGAAAAAGTGACCTACAATGATGAGCTCTGACATTGAGCTATGGAATGTTATCTGTTACACAAAGAATGTGGGTCACATAATTACACTCTCATAAATGTCAATGACAACAGCTGAGTTGAGCACACAATTAATACTCACAATATTTGTTTTATGAAGATCAGGCACTAACCAATAACTGCATATTGAATTATAAACCTAAAGTTTGCAGACAACAGTTTAATATTCCTCAGCACCTAACTAGACAATGTTTAGAACCACTTTAAGTTAATATCATAGTGATCTTCACATTCATTTACATCAGATCCTCTGTTTCTTCTATCCCAACACTTATCACAATAATTGCTGGTTGATAAGGAATTGTCACAAAACGATGATGATGATGATAATATATGATAAAGCTACCCGTTTTTAATATTATATCACATATTGCAGTTGTAAGTAAAACTGGTTCCTTTTTTCGGTTGCTCTTTCGGACATTGTCTGCTTTGCTTTCTTTTCTTCTCTTTTTTTTAAGAAACCCGGACGACCAAAAAAAAATGTATAACACAATTATGTAAACACAAAACACACAAACGTCACTGTCAAACCGCCATATTGCATATCCGTATACGACTGAAGTTAGATACTATTACAATCTGCAGGACCGTACTCAGGAAAATTATATGTAAAGCTTATGGTTAAGAACAGAAAATATTGAAAAATATTTCTATTTTGGTCGCCTGTATCACGAAAATCTGATAAGAAAGGTGGTTGGTTCAATTCCGAAAAATCAACAAAAATTTGTGGTGTCTGTTAAACCCGAAAGGGGTAGAAATAGGGCCGGAGAGATTTAAATCAATAAATAAAATTGATATAAATCTCTTTTATTTGAAACAAAACAAAATATTTCTATTTGATGATTCAAGTCATCAAACGATATAATTCATATTACTCATTTAGTCTGTGCTTTGCACAATTTCGCCAGTTTTCGATTCTTGTCTTGGTCTTCATGTTTGTCAATTTGAAAATACGGTCAGGATTTAAAAGAATAATTTGACTATGCTATACAATCAAATACAAAAGTCATAAGTTCAAAAATTTAAAAAATGAATGAACACCAAATTTATGTTAACATTGGGGTTCCTAAACTAAAACTGATAGTTTCACCCATTGTACACAACTTTGGGTTAGTTGTGTTTATTTTTATTTTTTTACTCATTACATATTACACCTTAACTACTTCATGTTGAGTTCAAAATATATACAAGGTGGCGCAAAAGTAATGTCATCATTTGAATTGGCTGCCATTTTTGCAGATGGCGCCAAATGTCACTGCTTTGAGATTTATGATGTAGATATATAGTGAATTAGTTGTCAACAAGCCATGGAGCGATACACACCTCAAGAACGTAGAAACTATGGAGATTTTGAGAAACCAATTTCCAGGTCGAGTGATCTCACGTTTTGGAGATTTGAATTGGCTGTCCAGATCGCCAAATTTAAGAACACCAGACTTTTTAAAATCTCGTGTTTACTACAACAAACCACGAACCTTGAAAGTCTTGAAAGATAACATTGAAGAAGAAATCGCCAATAAACTTTTGATGAAAACAGCAGCCAATTCAAATTATGATGTTAATTTTGCGCCAGCTTGTAGTATAAGTTATTAATTTGTTGGTTCAACTTTTTTGTTTTTATTTTACAGCATTCTTGAATTTGTAATTAAATATATGAATTGGACTTTTATTTAGAAAATAATTGAATTAATGATCTTTAAAACTTAAGAATCTATCACAACAAATCTGTCTGATGCGGTTCATCGGTTGAATATCATAATACAAAGTACAACATTGACAGTACTATTCAGAAATATGCTTATCTTCGGTAAAAATTCAATATAAATTATAATATTACTAGTTTTGTTATGTTTGTCTTGTTACATAATGTTTGACAATCTGCTACTACGGCTCCAAGTCATACATCAAACACGTAAGAGGACGACTGTCAGGTGTATTATGATTGAATATCACTAGTATAGAGGATATCTATATATTAAAATGATCTTTTGGAGACAATATTTTTACAGGTAAAATAAGATATTTTGGAGTTTATGTTAATATTTCTTATTCTTCTACAATTAGGGATGCAAATGAATATAAAAGAAATAGAATAGTTGAAGATTAATTAAATAGGTTCACATGCAAAGATAATTAAAAAGTGATGTTACGATATTTTCTAGCAAAACGTATGGTTCTTGTATTAAGATGAGTATCAAGCAACGAAATCACGAGCTTCATCTGCACTAATATCTCCAGAGACCGAGTTTTATAAAAAGTACAGAAAAGTTGTCTGGCTTCTCTCATGGGAAACACTAATGGAAATGTAAGCAAAATTACCAATGTTTTTTTTATGCTGCAATATTCTCTCTATACTTACATTTTAATAAAGGTAAAATAAATATTTTCGTGGAATATTAATTAATTAATTTTATTATACTTTTTTTTTGGCTTTGGTGTCACATTCAAATATCAGTACATCATACAAATAACATTAACAATTGTATTACAATAATCAAATTTGTTCTTCATCATCGATGATAAATATAACCACGAGGCGACCAAAGGAACAAAAATTACAATTACAAATTAGGTATCATCGGGTTTCGGGGGGACATGTAAAAAATTATCGGGAACAATACGATTCTATACAGTACAATTTTATAAACTCTCATCAACAATAAAGCTAAGGTCAGGCACATATATACATATATTTTTTTATAGACGATTCGAAACGGCAAACTTTTCAACAGATCAAAGACATCAAGGATACAATATAAATTAGTGAGAGAACATCTAAAACAATGCGTCGAAAATGTTTGCAATTCGAATGATATTCAGCAAAATGGATAATTGGACGTTTTTATTTATTTATTTATTTAATTTTTTTTTTCACATTCAATATATTTCAATTACACTAAATTCCAATAGAAATACGCTCATCGATAAAATAATAACATTTAGAGATTACATCATTTCTTCACCTTTTCCTAAAGATATCGCTTGACTCGAAGTTTTCCGCTATATTTATAAATATAACTTTTATTTCTCTTACTTTCTTGTTTAAATTACATGGAATGTTTTAAATATCTCCTTCTTCGATTGGTCTATGTGTATTTCCTTTTGTTTTTTGAACCTTTGTACCTAGTCTAAATCGCATTAGAAAACAACGATAATAGTTCGATCCCTTCCAAATATATATATAGATATATAAATATAAATAGCATTTCAATCTACTTAAACTACGAACCTTTAATAATTCCATATAGTTTGTCACGTTTTTGATATGATTACAAAATTTCTTCTTTTCATAATTACGGTCATACTAATAAAATATATATATGTATCCATGTAGATACCGAATGCAAGGTCTCTCTCTCTTGATTCTTTCTTCGTGAGGAGGATGTCCGTTTTTACTGTATAAAAAAATCGGTTTCGTCCTGCCAGTCCTCCACTGCCGGTCCGAAACTGTCGTTAAAGAACAGGTCGATTTGTTTGTAGAGATGTATCAGAGATTTTTTACTAAATACGTGATTTTCATCCGGGTACACCTGAAAAACACAGATACAAAACAACGAACGACTATTTGGAGGTACATCAACTAGTGAACACAACACCAAACTATAAATGCTCATCTCATATGTACAGTACACAATAACTTAAAAACTAATAAATATTAGGAAAAAAAAACGTTTATTTAAAATATTATTTAATTCGTTTACTATGAAATATTTAGTTTTTTTTTTCATTTAATATTATAATTAAGGTTTCACATTTCTTGACTGATAATCAATAGTTTAACTGCCATTAATCATGTTAATATTAGTAATATTTTTCTTTTGATTAGTTATTATTACGTGATATATTCTACTTGTATATGAAAGTAATTCGATGTAACTTTAAGGACTATCAGCCAGAGTGGTAAAATCTTATTATGTAATTGTTTTTAAATTGACAAACTTCGATGTAAAAAATATTTATTGAAATGAAGTATGCTTTTCGTTTTAATTGTTAAAATTTATATTATGCCAAAAAGTAATCCCAGTCGTCGCGGGATAATCCGAAACTGTCAATAAAGAACTGATCTAATTGTTGCATTAGATGCAACATCGAGTTTCGCGAGAATTTCGCTTTCTCGTCGGGATAAACCTGGAAAAAAGACGGTCCAGTTTCACAAAATTTGCATCGTGTAATAAACAGCTTGTTGTTCTTAGTTTCATTAAAATTGTGTCGCCAAAAACTCTGTTCGAATAGGATGGATTTGATGTAAATTTCATGAAATAAAGTAATTATGGGACCAAAAATTTACAGGATTATGATTTTGTGTAAGCTATGATAATTCAAAAAAAAAAAGTGAAAAAGAGCAGAACGGAATCTACATTTCAAGGAAAATACGTTGAGTTTCAGAGTAAATGCATAATACAAATAATGTAAATAGTTCGAATGAAAGCAGAAATAATGAAATGCGGTCGTAAACGTTTTATGATTTACTGCGTTGTTGCAATGAAATTTGATGTGCGTTCGTTCCTAAATTAAAGCCAATTATTTCAGTATTTATATATGAAATTGCATTTTCCATATAAACGTTCTCGAAGCAATTCTTATTATTATCTAATTTTCATTTCATATTATATGTTAAACTAAATATCTTTCAGCTGTAGCTCAAACAAACTGAAAAATAAGTGCTTTAAGACGTAGGTTAGAAGCTATACTTATTTAGATTAATATAAATATAAGAAATATTGAAATGAAATTCAGTAAGTACTGTTAAAACTAAGATACGAATAGAAACTATTATGCAAATGGATTGTTCAGTGCAAATTCTGTTAATGGGTATTATTATAATGGAAACATGGTGAAACTGAAAGGCTTTGCTGAGTGCGCAGTGAAGAGGGTTCGGGGAACAATGGAATTATGTGATGTTCTTACGTTTCGCGAATGACGCAACTTAGACAACTCAATTTTCGATGCTTCCAATGCAATTAGCAGCTAAATATAAAATGGATCTAATAACAAACGTTCCATGGAATTTCCGAAAGGTTGTAGAAGAACATTACTTTTTACAAAATTATTTTGTATCAAAAATAGTAATTTTTAGAGATTCAATTCTAATTGTTGTGAAATAGAGTTAATAATAACATGCAAACAAAAGCCATGCAATGTGTTTAAATATTTATAAAGATATGTTGAACTCACTAATTGCTGAAACATGACGCCTTGATCGATCATCGCTTTTGAGAACATCATGGAATGCTGTGGATTGACCGTGGTGTCGGCTGTGCCATGTACAAGCATATACCTTCGTCCATCCAAATTTCCGGCTCTCTTTGTTAGATCTGCCCTTTGGTATTGAATGAAATGCTCCGAGGGATATCCCAAATAGCGTTCGGCAAAGTACGAATCTAAGGGAAGGGTTGTTATTGTAATATAGCAGTTTTTCATTATTCTTTTGAAACTAACTGTAGTAGAGCCAGTTCGTTATGGGCGAGATGCTCACTGAACAATTCACCACTTCGTGGATGTCCTCGAGCATTAACATTGCAGAAACATAGCCGCCGTATCCGGATCCAATCGTGCAGACTTTCTCGCGGTCTATGAATTTTTTAAAGTTATCCCGCAAGTAGGTTAACACAGCCAATTGATCTGTCACCTCCGTTTGGCCAACGCTGGAAAACAAGGAGATAAATGAAAATGAATTGATTTTTTTTTTTGTATAAGTTCATTAATCAGTAAATACTTGTTGTAAATTTGCCGTCGCATTTTCTCCCCTTGGAAGCCGGAGCCGCGTACGTCTATCTGCGCGACGATGTAGTTTCTGGTGCTGGCTAGGTACCAAGGCCAGGACACTTCCCACTTCTCTGAGACCGATTGTGTTCCCGGTTTGGAATCACTTGAAACAAAGAGGATGCTCTTGACACTGCTCGAAGTCGGCTTTCCGCAGCTACTCACATGATAAGTATCAAAGGGAATGCGACATCCTCGTATTCCCTCAGCACAGGGGGCAGGTGCAGCTTCACTTGCGCTTTGTAAGCGCCCCTTTCGTCGATGTCCACTTGGAACTTCTTTATCTTTGGCATCGAAAGGTTGCGCACCTTGTTACGCAAACTGGAAGCGGCGTCTAGCACTATGAGACGGTAATTCGTGGAAGTTTCCACTAGGAAGACGACGGGCACGTTCGGCCCTAAGCACTCATGCACGTAGTACCTGTAGTTGCTGCTGAAGATAATGTTATTGTAATCGCACCGGTAAATCATGAACATCGTGTCGTTTAGGAGGGTTTCGTTCGTCAGATCCTCGAACATCGTCATGTTCAGGTCGATCTTCGGTTGGCATGTCATGCAGGTCCATGCTTGGGTAGAATTCGTGTCTCCAATTTTGAATAGGTGTCTCACGCCTGGATTCTCCTCGTTTGTCGCGATTGCATAACTGCAACAACAAAATAAAAGAATAAATAATTATTACAGTTTAATGATTTCAAGTCCCTTACATAAGGTGATTCTCTTCATCCCACGCTAGGATCCGCGTGACTTCGAAAGCTCCGTGCGTCAAAGGTACCACGTTACGTGATTGCAGCTGACACACGTGCATGTAATCCCCATTTTCTCCGTCTTTCACTGGACATCTGATCAACGCTCGAAGACCGTTCGTGGAAAATATAGGATGGAATATCGGCTCAGTCCATCCACAACCCTCCAATAATTCCGGCGAAGTTTCACAAACTGCCCTCTCGACATGGAACTATCGAACATATTTAAAAAAAATATTATTTACTCTTAAAAATCGTCTTTGTTTTTTTCCATTAATTCTAAGTTAGTCCCGTATTATGTATTATTCCTGTTATAAAAGAGGTAACTGCATACATTTAATATAAAGTTTATTTCGAACAAATTTATTTTAAATGAGGATCTTCTTTTATGTATAAATATATAAGAGTTGTCATAATTTAACGATGTTTGAAAAGATGTATTCATATTTTTGTTGTAAAAATGATAAATGCCCATAATGGTGTCGCATGGAAATATGAAAAGCTTCACGACACAATTATTCACCGAAAGGATGACTCAAAAGCATTTCCACAAGATGTACTCACGTTCGTGCAGTTGTAATTATTTTGCGATCTGCAATTTAATACAACCGATATGTTCTGTCTCCTATTCAACCAAACAACAGAGACTTGATGATCGTTGTAGAATTTGGCGCTGGTCAAGTAACTTCCCGGTTCGACACTGTTCGTTGGTCTCAGTTGCACGGGGAAGAGGAACTTGGGTGTAGTCAAATTCACCATCCACACAGATACATCCGGATTTCTTGTCTCCACCTGCAACATATTAATAACATCTGTATAATGAATTGTTAAAACATTCGAACGATTTACCAAAACCACAATTAATGATTTCAATTAGAAAAAAAAAATTGCAGCAAGCCTTGGATTATTATACGCCAGCAATTGTTCCGCTCGAATATAACACGAAACGAGATTTGATCGCACACATGATGGACGATTATTGAGCCCTTAATACCGTACAGTCCGTCGCATTCCGCCCTATCTCCACGCTTTTTCGCTTTAATCCCCTCGATAAACTGAACTAATATTACTTCCAATCTAATTCAATCAACGAAAAAAATAAAACGAGAACATTAACTTGGAAGAAGCCTTCTGTATCGAGAAGTTTTGGGGTGATGTCCTCTATAGACTTATTCCACTAGGACTACTCCAGTTTCAAGTTACACCGAATAGTCCATCTCCAATTGCCGTATAGATGGACGCGTTGAATGGAGACGTATTTCCGGAGCGCAGATTTATCCATTACGTGGATACACGCACGGTTTTGAAAAGAAGCTTTTAATGCAAATTCCTGTTCAGCAAAATGCTTTGTATACAGGTTTTCGAGAATAATTGAAGGCGGTTAATACGTTTACAGTAGAGGCGAGTTCAGTTTAGCTGCCGGATAATAAATTTAAGCGCATTAAAGCGCTACGTGGACAACATGAAAATTGCTGATACAATGATACAATCAAGTTACTTGCGTATTTTGACAGGGTTTAAACCTAAATATTTAATGATTGCTTGGAAATTTAATATGTTTTTATAATGAATAAGTTTAACACAACATTCTAGAAATATTTGATTTGGAATTAACTGCTAAAGAAATGTGTTTTTGCTAAGTTGATTACATTAATAATTGAATGGACAAAATTTCAAAGATTTCCAACAAATGAAACTGATTGAAGTTTGATCTTGAAAGAAATTTAAATTTTCATAGACTTGATTTTAATGTATAACATTTACATTAAATATAATAGATATTAAATACAGTTGTAGATTTATTAATCTTAAAAATATGTTATGTGGTTCAATTAATTTTGTAAAGTCAGAACTAACCTTGGGATATTTAAGATTCTTGATCTTAGGATACTTAGCGGCAGGATTCCTGCTGTCGTACCAAGGATATTTGTAATCGCCGACCAGCGAGTTGTTTATGGTCAGATAAAGAAGGTACATGCCATCCGGTGAAAACCACACAGTGTGTCCGGTATGCAGGATCTCTGTCTCATATAGCCAATCGGGAACGCCGTTCCTTACATCGGCATCTCCGTCCATAGTTATCCTGCATACCAAATCCTTCTGGATCCTCGGCTTGTAATAGATATCGTTCTCGTAGACAAAGACCACAGACCTTCCATCCGGCGACCAAGTGGCGTACTGCAGATGGGGCGCACTCTCATCTAGCTCGAACGGCGATAAAGGCCTTTTAAAACTGAAATAACTTAGTATTACAATACGGAATCATGCAAGTAGTTCCAATAGTAGCTATCACCAGAAATGCAATTATGTAATTTCCATACAATTCAAATTCAGGTTGTTCAAAGAAACGACATTGGTATTCCCGGAGCAATTTTAGCAATAGAAAAATGATAGAAATACACATAAAAAAACATGGAAATTTTGTTGCGAATTGCGTTGTTTTCGGTCGAATTTGAAAATTCTCTTTGAATTGTAATTGCATTCGGGAGTCACAAAACCCGCGACAATAAAAAAAATCGGATTGCTCAATTTTTTTTATATGAAATGCGTAATTACCTTGTCGCCCTTTCGTAAATATAATATCTGGCAAGTCTGCTGTGCTCGTGGATTACGATGACGTCCGTCACAAGAAGCACGTATTTCAAGTCGTTCGATATTTTAAAATCAATGGCGTTGTATTGTCTCTGAAATTAGAAGCAACATAAGTTATAATATATATTTTATACATTTCAAACACCAGTGTTTCCCAAACCTTTCCTGCAACGGAATACTTCAAAAATTCTGAAATCTTCACACTTTGTCTATTTTGTATGATAGGTAATAATACATAATCAATAAATTTATGAAAAAATATAAGAAAAAATATTCATTATTTATGTAGTAATTATTTTATTCCTAGTAAAAATATCTATTAACATTCGCGGAACATAGTTGGGGAAACCCTGATCGTCACTATGAGACATATATTTTTGTCATGTTTACCAACAAATTTGTACACTATTATGTTGGTACACTTGAAATATATGTATGTCGCATGTTGTCAAATATATATTAATAATTAAATAAATAAACAGTTGGCCTTCCTGCTCAAGTAATTTATAATTTGTATTACATAAATAATAAACCAAATTCTCAGAGTATGTGCATATAATAATAATAACCAAATAAAAAAATAAATCTTTCTTTTTTTCATTCAAATTGTTATCGATTAGCAATTAGATAATAATAAAATGCAATTAAAGAAATTTCTGTGCTGCTGAAAATTGAAGATAAATGTATTAACAAATTGCAGATAAAATAAGAAAAACATTCCATCAACTATAAATAAACTATGGGCCACAGTCTTTGCGCCCTCATCTAAATAATTATATTTACTGAAAAATATAAATAATATTTAGGTATAAAGATCTCAGCCAAAACGTAGCCAATACATTTATTTAATTGAAATATTATTAATAGTAATAAAATCCAACTACAAAAATTTCCTTTCGTTTAACCATTAACTACTCGCTACACCACATGTATTATTGCCAGACGAAGTGCATAAATGATTGTATTACGACAAGAAAAAACTTTTTCATGTTAACTAATGCTTTTTTGCATACATTAATATAATAATTTCTGAATGAGAATTGTCGTCATTACTCTGTATATAAGCGTGAGTGGAGGTATCGACATCATCTGCTTATACACCCACACTGGAGAGCAAGAAAGAACATGCACAAAAACAACTTCTTTGTGCCGCAATCAACACAATATTGCACCGGCATTTAGTAAACACTTTGGGCATAGGTTAAGTTAAGTGTCATAGAAAAATAGAATATAGATGTGGTATCATTTCTTAGAAAATTGGTGTACTTTTTACACAGGCGCGAGTAGTTAAATCTTAAGAAAATGCCTTTGATATATTACATTATTTTATGAAATAATTAAAATAAATATAATTATATTGATTGTTATATTTCATTTAAAAAAATATTTAAATATACAGTAAGAAGCATCATTAAAAATAAACTGTCAAGTAGGAAATCCGGTTCTGTAGTATCAATGTGCTTTTCTTTGAAGCCAAGTGGACTCGTTATTACATGGGGATTTGTTTCTAGTGGATTTGTTTCTAGAAGTCAGATTCGAAAAGCGCTCTGGAATTGATCCGAACAGCAGTGTCTGTCTGCTTTACTCGTGGATACGTTCAAAACATTCAAATTGAAATAAGTGTATACAAAAACGAATTGCGTAACGTTATTTATATATAATCGCGTTAATCTTCTCTATAAATCAGAAAGGTGTGTATGTTTCTTCTTCGTGCTGAAAAAGCTAGTTTTGTGAAACTTTGTTTCGGGTAAGGGTTGTACGGTAATTTGGCGACACGCTGCCACCTAACTTTACGCAATTTATCTTGAAACTAGTAAAACGACAGAATAAATTCCCCCAATTCTACTCACAAACGTAATGTTCGTTACTAGCACTTCCGTCGTCAAGTTTTCAGCATTGTACAGCGTTATCCCGCCGTATCTGTCCCTGTACACGAACTCAGTATCTGAAACAATAAATACATATTATTAATAAATCATTATAACACACAAAAAAATAATTGATCACAAAATTTAATACAAGTAATAAATATATTCATGTTTTTATTATTAGCAATGAAAGGGTTTTTGTTTATTTACAACTTAATGAAATCAATATTTTCAATAAATATGTTTAGCCCTCTGTGGGCTAAAACTGACGATTATTTAAATAAACTAGATTAAAAATGTGTAATACTTTACGAATGAATAGATTCACTGGATGTGGATCCACTGTAGAATCACTGGGAAACAAAAAGCTTGGAAAAAATTACTATAAAACTAATGGTGGATACGCCGGGCTACATACTTTTCAAAGATGTAATTTAACAAAGAATATAGCTGTTCTATTATCATATTTATTGTATTCAAATATAATAATTAATTAAATTCTATCTAAAAATACAAAATGAAAAAGTGCAGTATTTTATTTAATTGATTATGTAATTATATAATAATCAATAATATTAACGTGGATGCGCCGGGTCATAAACTTTCAACAAACGATATTTAACAAAGTTATTGCTCAATATGTATTCTATATGATAGATTTTAGTAAATAAAAAGAAAATCAGAACTTTTTTCTTCACCCAATATTATGTTATTTCTTTTGTGTATGTATTTATGATTTATTAAAATAAATTTAATTTTTATTAAATTATATTTCATGAAAAAATATAAAAATAATATTATTTAATTTTATTACTTATATTTTATTTACGCAATAAATGATAATTATTAATACTCTTGAGGGATAAAACTTGAAAATACTTCTTATGAGTACAGTAAAATGAATTGCAATTGACTTGAAATAATCGGAATTCTACAGTATTTGATTTTATTTTTACACGATTTTTTTAACTTTAAACAAGATCAAATTGGTTTATGAAAGTTACATACTTAAAGCCAAACGCTTTGATGTAAAAAGATCAAAATAAATCAAAGAAATAAGTTATTTGAAAATATAAGTATATAATGCAATGTTACCCATATACAGTTTCTGAATAAGTTCAAAAGTAAACGTAGTTATTAATGACATAATCTAGCATATTTTTCTTGTACATTTGAATCTAAAATTTACTTATTTTATGTTAAAACAGTGGATTTTGTAGTAAATAAAAGTATATGAATAAAACGAAATTTTATTCATATACTTTTTAACTGTAGTTTCTGAATAACTTTCAAATTTCAAACGCAATTATCTATGATATACTTTCATTTTTTTTTATAGCTTTATGTTACAATTAATATTATTATTAAATAAGTCAAACAAATAAGTTATTTAAATCCCTTAAAGTTAAGATCCGCAATTCCTTTTCAAGTTCATTTTCGTTGCTTCAGGGTCTCCCATAAGGCTCACTTCTGTTCCCTTATTACATAACCTTTTTTGTTGTGATTTGTATAACGATACATAACCTACAAATCCTGTACAAAACTCCTTGTTCACTACTCGCCCTCTTCTCCCAAAACCTACTATATTCTCATCGCCCTCAGTAATAAATCTTAGAATCTAGAAATCTTCCTAGATTCAAAGCTAAATTTCAACTCCCACTCCAAGCAGTTAAGACAAGGAACTCCAATTCACCCATTATCACACTTACAAATATAAATCAACTTGCCTTCCCATCTTCTTTTGTTGATTCACCCTTCTTTCCCAATACCGAAATCCAGTCCTAAAAACACTTTTCGTAACCTCACCAAATTGCGACATCCTAATAATCCTCTAGATTCTCTATTTCTCGAAACCCAAACATCCATCCCAAATTTAAGTGGTATATTTAACCCTTTTCTAATACCTAATATATCTAAATTGGAGTTCTCGTAGTCCTCAGATGTATATATTTATTTCTTTTTCAGATAATTCTTGTATTTTTATATATATTGCATCTATTTTCTTATATTATTAAATTTATCTTCTTCATCAAAGTCGATCCTTTGGTCAGATTATTAATGTTATTATTTTAGAATATTTCTTATAAATTTATGTTTTTTCATAACATTTATATTTATTTTCAATCTATATTCTTGTATCTGTCCAACAAATTATTATTATTCAAAAAAAGTTTTAAAAAAAAAAATATAAAATGTAATTTTACTAACAAATTTTTCTTTTTAAACACAAACCGTGGTTCGTAGATAACTTTAAAATTGTAAACGTAATTATTCATGCTGTACTCTCGCATAATCTTTTTTTTTTTGCATAATTTCATTTGCATCTCTTTTTAATTTAGATAATAAATAGCTTTATTTATGATACACCCAAGTCTTTGTAACATCAGGGTATAAAAAAAAAGTGAAGGGCTCGTATCTAATTTTGCTCAAACATAAATACGAAATAATTTATTGCGGTGGAACACATAAATATTGTGTCCAAAGAAAAGTGATTCATTTAATCCAAGTTTGATGGGAACTATAATAGCTGCAATAACAAGAGTTTTCTTTCTATTTTTTTTTTCGTTCATTCGCGGAAGACGATAAATCACGAAGATCTGAGCGAAAACTTATAGCGATTTCGAGCACACGTCGTACACAAATTAATCGACGGCTTACATTTATTTATACATGGAACATATTTTCCGCTAACTCGTATTTAATTGAAGAATTATGAATGAAAACTCCGGTGGATTGGAAATAAAGAATGTGTGTAAACTGCGTACAGGGTGGAGGAACCAGAATATCGTGGGGTCCATTTTGGCGGTACAAACATCCAGCCGTAGTCATGGTGACTACGAATCGATTGCTTATAGAACTGTTATCTGGGAGAGATTCTGCACCCTGTGTATACCCCCATTATTTCTTCTGAGATCGCACACTTCGGCGATTCATTGTTTTCAACCCAACCGAAATTTTCTACCAGGCAGATGATGCACGTAGTCGTCGTAAAAGTGCACCGTTTTAATGTCGCTCGTAAAACGTTGGCTGCGTTTAGAAATAAACAAATAAAAACTGGGGAAACATGTCAAATATGAATGCATGTGTGATGCATTATATAATCGAATATTAAACGGAATATGTTTTACGTCGTTGATCGTAAAACTTCCTGCAAGTCAACTTTTATTAGAATGATTTGAAATTTTTGAAATTGCTAAGAAAAAAAAAACGTCTTAGCTTTTTAAGTTATAAACAATTCAGATTGACAGTGCATTCTTCACTTTACATTTTAGAAAGGATAACTGATGTTTTCGTTCATGACGAAAATACGTAAGTTATGTTTGGAAATCTATTTATTTGAAATAGATACAAAATCCACTTTGTAGATGACATCGATCTCTTAAAGTACGAAATTTATTAAAGATTTCGAGTCACATTACTAAGTACTCAATCTAGGAAAATTCTCAATATATTTTCTATAAACATAAACACATTCATCTTACCAGTTTATTTTTGCACTTTGCAATATTTGTATATATATAATAAGAGTATGTGTAACGAATGGAATAACGAAGATTTACTTTGCCGATAACAGTAATTATATTTTGGAAATGCATTTGCTTCTTATAATTTTCATTAAACTAAATTGATAGGAAATAACAGTAATATTCATAGAATCGAATTGCACCAATTTGTAAATGTATGTATTGTACAGCAAATTAATACATTTATTTCATACATTTCCTAAGTAATTGGTAATAAATGTCGTTAACTAATAATTGTGTAAAAGTTTCCTAATTTGGACCAGAGCATATGTTAGATCATAATTTGACCTGTATAGGAAAATGATGTCTTAAATCAAAGAGACATATTTCTTAAAAATTATGTAGTGATGTAAAATATGTTGAATTATTTATCGAATTTGCTTAATTTAATAAATAAGTCCACTTAAATTGCAGAAAAAATGAAGATCCAAATGTTTAAACAAATACTGTTTTTTGTGGTTTTCTTGCTTTGACCGATAATCATTTATTAAATGTTTACGTTTTTACCATTGTATTTTTGAAATATCAATTTTAATATTTTTTATGATAAAAACAGTAACATTTGTTCATCCCACATATTTTTTTAAAATATTATAAATAAAATAAAAAATATTGTTCAAATCGTCCAAATTAGAGGCGACTAATACGATCTAGTGGGCGCCGGTTCAAATACTGGTCCAGCCAGGCCCTTTGTGAGCCCTTTCGGTGAAATGAATGAGTTCCAGCATATGGACCTTCAGCCAAGTCGATGGACAATGACAGTGTTAAGGAGAGCAGCAGATTCACAGTGAAAGGAAATAGTGGAATCACAGAGCATCAATATACTACTGAAGTTAACCTACAAGACGACAGCCAACCAACAAATTAAAATCTAATCATCATAATGGTATGAATCTACCGGGAAAGATTATCCAATTAATGTCAACCCTGATCTTAAATTTCCTCAATGTTCACATTGATGAACAGATTGTGAATAAAATTATACGACATTCAAAAAAATGGTCCAAATTAGGCAACCATTTCATGAATACGCTTTAACTGCAACATTGATTACTTTTTGAGCACGCATATCAAAGTAGATTTGTGTGACCGATTGCTGGCCATTATCAAGAGAGTAATTCGCTTCTCTTTTTTTACTTCGACTGACTTCATTTCTGGAGCATTCCGGACGTTTCCAATTTGCTTTCTGGGACGCTCGAGTCGCCAAACGTGATTTTGATTAAAAATACTATAAGAGACGTACGTCTCCTTATTTGTTTACAAAAAAGAGATCTGCAAGTGGACGATCGATTGATCTAAAAATAAATATGGAATATGTTAATAGGCAAAAGTCAATAAGGAATCCTATATGCCTTTTAATTATATAAAGCGCACCGACCTCGAAATCCCTTAACCATTAGACTAATTTACGTCTGGATGAGGATTGGCTTGATTCGCATGCAGAAATCGCGCTTTCATTAAGATTATTGCATACGAACGCTCGATATTTTCCAAGGAAAACGCCTCTGTTTCAGCAGTTCTCATCAATAACGAGATCTTTTAGTATGCGTTAT